CATTTTTTTTTTTTAAATTTCGATAAGAACAGTTTTAGTGGTTTTTTTTCTCCTGAAACTTTTTTTTAATTAATTTACATTCATTCCATGAGCATCATCACAACATACTAAATCTGGTTTCCCATCTAGAATAAACTGCATAGTGGCTTAATCATGCATGTTATCATCAATAATATTCCATTTCTACTTTCATATATATGTATGAATGTATATACATGTATATGCATATATACACACATATATATGTATATATATTTGTTTTTTACCCCATGTCTGACCCTCTGCCCTTTCCCACTCTCTTATTACACTATCTCTGCTGCCTATAGTTGTCTTCAATTCCTTTTCCCCAAACATTTTGTTGATCACACAATATCATAAGTAATCTAACTACTTTCAATAGCAAGTTCAGCTGGTGATTTCAGGAAAAGCAGTTTTGAACTGGTAAGGATATTTCCTTGAAGCTTAAAGCCTAGAAACAGGTTAATATTCTGTTCTAATAGTAGGTACATAACAAAGTTTTAAACATCTCTCTTGCACCTCATCTTCAGAAATGATATCAATAGTTTGTCCATAAAATAGGCATTGAAAATGATCAATAAAGTTATAGAGTCAAGTTAATACTTAATCTTTTACTTGGTGTTTTCCCCTCTCCAATAACCTATGGCATTTCAAAGTCTATTGGCCTGGGTAGGAATTATAAAATTGTGACTATGAAACCAGACAAAGTCAACAGGCATCCATAAATCTTGAATCACACTTTCAACCTCATTTGAACCTTGCCATTTGAATGAACTGACCAAGACTGAGTTATAAGCACACTAAACCTAACTGAGGAGACATATCAGGGTTCAACATGGAGCTTACCGTATGGCTCGTCCAAATGCAGTGAAGAGTGGATATGGTGGGATGTCATCAGGTTTTTTCTTGGCCCAGTAATAAGTAGCAAAGGCACCAGCGAGGGCACACTGACCCAATGCAATGACAAAGTTTATAAGCCAGAGAAAGACAAATAGATTGTATATCTGGAAGGTAGATATGTATTGATGGTACAGGCTCTTTCCACCATAGGAAGCAAAGTTACACAGAGCTCCAGGGCAAGCTTTGGCAATTTCAGTTGTATTAAAAGTCTGCACTCAGAAAGCAAACAAACACACACAATAATATAACATTAAATGCCATTCGGAGATAACACCTCCTTATCTTTTTCTTTTTTTGTAACTTCCCATTGCATGTCTTATTTTTTCTCCTGCTATTTCTCCTCTATCTTCTATTACAACACTTCCTATATATATTTACTTTCTATTTATATTTTGACACTTCCTATAATTTTTAACAAGCTCTAGAAAGTATCTCCTTTTCCATCATATGCTCATCTCTCTATCCCCACTATAATTTCTAATTTATTTGTGTAGTTATTGACCATACCCACTTCTTGGGTATATGATACGACAAGCAAGCTCAAGAAATAAGTACGGTGTTTTCTCTCCTTTCTGCCCACTGTTTTAATGCTCTCCTGTTACTATCTGACCCGCTTTCTTACTCTGTATATAGTCATCAACACCAATGCATAAGATCTCTGTTTCAGAATGATTCCTGCAACAACTGCAAAATAGAATGAAGCAAAATTATGAACTAAAGGAAGTAAATGAGAGAGATTCTTTTACTTACCTCTGGGTTACAAGTTTTATTTTCATGTATACAATTCCCCTCTGGGGCCACAATTTTGTATATAGGTATCCCTGATGTAGCCAAAAAACTAAATGAACTCTATTAAGGATAAATTACTTGTTAGTAGATTGAAAATAAATTGACAAGAAAATAATACAGAGAATTGAAAAATTCATTGCAAAGTTGATTTCAAAAAACCTCTAGTATTTTACTAATGTGTCTATTTTTGGGGCCTAGATTAATGTAGCATGAGCCAGCTCCTTAAAAACTGAGTGGCCCCTTAAAAACAGTAAAATATATAGGAGCTTTCTTAGTTTATTGCCAAGGAGAAGCATTGTATGTGAAGACAAAATAAAATCTTGTCATATAACCTATCTGAGAAGAAGTACAATCAGTAGACTAAGACAATTTTAGGGCTTGGGGGGAAATCCACTTGTTACTTGTTTAGGATATTCTATATCTTCCCAGGAACAGAAGACCTTGGACACAAACTTCTAGTTCCTGAACAAAAATGTGGCCCTGAGGTTTAAAGAGGTCAATTTTCAAAGGATACAGTGCCGTCACGGCCCAGTAGGAAATGCAGATTGAGAGCAAAATGAAAGTTAACAGTGGATAAATTAATGTACTAGGGATGTATCCAATGGCTCTAAAATAAAACAGATAGTTGAAATTCAAAATGATGTACTTTTTGAGATGAATTTTCTCAAATTTTACCTGTTAAATCTTGAAATAAATGTGAGACTGAATTAATTCTAAGAATAGTATAAGAATCATTTACTCTTCTTTGTTGATCATTCTGGTATTATCTCCACCACTTCAATGATTTATTTATTTATTTATTTTAATAAGCAAATGGGACATTCTTCCAATTTTCAGGTTTTTTTGGTTTTGTTTTGTTTTTTTGTCTTGAAGTTTAGTTCTTCCATGAGCAAAAAACATGGAGAGGGAGAGAGACAGAGAAGCAGGCCCCCAATGATGATACACCCTCAGGCCCAGCCAGCCCCAAATTAATGTGCATGTCCAGTGTTTCAGGGAGATCTCAGCACGTGAATCAGCACATTTCCATACGGGTCAGAGTGTCCTGTTTTACTGTCATACCACCATGTAGCTCTACAATGCTTATGTTTGATACCTGTCCAAAGTTTCCCCACCTCTCCTTTCTTTGTTTACTTCCACCTCAGCCATAAACATTGAACACATTGTGATCATGAAATTTCTTCTTTTTGTTTAGGTTTTAGGACTTTTAAAATTGGAGACCATGAAATCATCGGTTAATCTGTGGATCCTTCCCTAATTCAGTAATCCCTTCCATAATATCTTCAAAATGTGTTCACTAATTTCTGGTGAGCATACTGAATGCTGGAAACCTACTTTTACATGACATAGCTTATCTCTTTTTCTTAACAAAGTATTAGGAAGCTCCTTTTCTTTACCTGCCTGCTAGTATGTTACATTCACTAACTCTTGGGAAAGCAATGCCCACTTTACCACCTTCCCCACCAAGCTTCAGTGATCATTTCCATCAATTCCCACACCTCATAATCAAAGCACTGCCACCTCGCTAAAATGCTAATTTTAGAAATTCACTTTCAAAACCTCAAAAAAAAAAAAAAAACTTTCACTAGAGCTTGATCAACTTGATGGGCTGGGCTAGCTTTATTTTATCCATAAAATCATTTCACAGCATTTGTAGAAATTAGAAAACAGGCATGGAAGGATGGTAGAGCTCTATTTCAGGGAGCTCTATTTTAAATATTCATCAGATAAAGGAAGCAATTCCTTATTCTTTTTATATAGTTTTTTTCCTACCAGATAATCATTTCTTTAATATTTCCCCATAGTTTGTGAAACATTCATTATCCTAGTTGTGATGTTCCTAATGCATTGTACTAGGTGATCTTTTCACCATACGACATTGGATTAAATAAAAATAAAATACTAGTTGAGATACCCACTGAGAAGTCTTTTAGAATTCTTACTCCTCCTAATACGATGGCGCTACTTGGATTTCTTTTGCATTTTTATATTATTTCTCTCAGTATTTGAGCTATGATATTTTTTCCTTTCTCTCTGTACTACTTTCCTTGAATTACTGAGTAGCCTTGGGTTTACCCGGCATTCTCACACCCATTTAGTCCGATCCTTATTATTATCCTGAGCAAATTAGCAACCAGTCACAGTTCTACTGACCCTTTAAAACACACACACACACACACACACAAACACACACACACAGATTAACACAGAAGCATATTTAGTCATGTAACAAGTGAAGCAGGTCATAGTGAACTTCACAGTATCATACTATTTAAAAAATATACCCACAAAATCAGTAGGTTTTGGTGGCTAATGACTGTACTTCAGTTACTGTGGGAAACAGATTTTAACAAACTGCTTAACTAAACCATTGACTTTAATTGCCACTATTATTATAATAATACTGCAATTTTGATAAAATAATCTTTAAAGACTATCAAAACTAATTTGGTTCTTGGTCATTAACAACTTATTTTCTATCATTCCAAACAGAGAACACGGTCTGTTGGCTTTACAGTAATACTTACCTTGTTTCTTCCTTGCATTATTTAAAAATGTAAGAGTATTATCTTCAAGTGACATTTTGGAATAGTTTTAAAATTTTAAATATTATTACTTCCCAGAATGAATTTTGTGAAAGATTTAGTGTTTATTAAATAACTTTTTAAAAAGTGGCTTTGGGCATAAAGTATGCCTGAATTATACGTTTTAGATACCAAATGTACTGTCTGGTGTGGCTAGAATCAATTCTATCTATTAGAAAATTCGGTCACATACAGAAATGGTGATAGCATAAATTGACTTTACAAAATTACGATGGTAACAAGTTCTGCAAGTGATCTCAGCTACGAACTTATGATTCAGTATGGATATAATAAAACATGTCATGTAGCTAACTTTTTTATTTTAAAGTTTTTGTCACAGGGCATGTGTGTTCACCAGGGAAATGAGAGGAAAAGTGAGAGATCACTCCCCAGGGGGATGCCCTTCCCCTCCATTCTCCTCTTGGGATTTTGGGCACAGTGCACACATGCTCATTGTGATTTTCAGGCTACCAGGACTGGGACTCAAACTGTGGTTAGCCATGTGGGAGTCCAGCACCTCAACCACCATGCCACCTGCTGGTCCCTGATATAGCTAACTCTTAGGTAGCATTTTAGCATTTTTACATGCTGTTCTTTCCACATAAATTTGGTGGTCAAAAATGCTAATATGTGACTAAACAGGTTTTATCCTTAATTTACTTTATAGTAATTGAGGTTTGGGGGATGGTTAAGAACATTGTAGTGGTGACTTTTCTAATGAGGGGTTTAGAACAAGTCTTCTTGAATGGGAAAGAGATTAACAACTTACAGGGAAATCGTTTGAAACATGTATGGGTGGGTGAGACTGATGGAACTGACTAATGTACACTGTGAGTTACCACAGTCAGGGCCTTACTTGCTTCCCTCCTTCATCAGCATGATGGCGACACGGATTCGTTTCCTGAGGAAGATCAGCATTAAGATGATGATCAGTTCGATGATGCAGAGTATTATCACTTTGAACAGGAAAACAAAATCAGTCTGTGATATATCAACACATAAGAAACCAACTTTCTCTGCAAAAGTTAGAACTAAGCTTTACTGACTACTTCTGTCAATTCTCACACCTCATAATTAAAGCACTGCTCTCTCTCCAAAATGCTAATCTTAGAAATTCATTTTCAAAACCTCAAAAACTGATAAAAAAATCCAGATTAAAACCTTTCACTATAGCCTGAGCAGCCCAATAAACAGGCTTTATTTTATCCATATAAATATTTCACAGGATTTGTAGAAATTAGAAAACAGGCATGGAAGGAAGATAGAGCTACTTTAGGGAGCTCTATTTCAGATGTTCATCAAGTAAGAGAATATTACAGAAGAGCAAATTGTTCTTGCTGACTGACAGGATGGCTCTTTAAATTTTTTATAAATGTCTTATGTTTATTTCTCTTTTTTTCCCATGAGAATGAGAGAGAGAGAGAGAGAGAGAAAGAGAGAGAGAGTAGCTTAACAGTATCTAACACCATGATTCTCCCTGAGTCTTCCCAGTCAGACAGGATCATGGAGATGCAGGTTTGGAGTGTACAAGTCAACCAGAGAACCAAACTTGTGATCTTCAATATGGATCCGGCTTCACTCAAACAGCATGTTACTGCTGCATTTCCAAGCCAGCTCCAGGACAGGCTCTGGGCTGCCACGTTTTAATTTTTTACTTCACTTCCCATGGTCACCAAGGATGGAAGCTGGGTGTAAACCCTACATAACTTGTCCAACAAGAGTGTTAGAATTAAAGTTAAGGAAATTGAATTTTGTCTTGAAGTTTATAAACCTCTTGAATTGAGGGTTAAACAAACTTAATGAACGATGTCAAAAACACATTTATGTGAAGTAAATAATTCTGCAAAGATAAAAGTGTTTGTATATACAAAGAGCAATCTTGGATGCTTTATGGGTTTTGTTTCTTGGATCCAGGTAGACTTGAAAGTTGAAGGCAAATGGCTTGAGATCTTTGTAGCAATTTTTCTTAGATTATACAATAAATTCTCCTCAATGGTTTTTTTCATTTACTATAGCTGGTGGGATCATGGGCACATTTTCCTTTAATGACATTAGTAATTAATATATATAACCAGTTACACCAACCAAGCTTTCTGCAGGCTATAAAATATTACTTGATGATGATTATAATTTTAACCAGTTTATAAAATCCACTCACTAAGTATGAACCATGTTTGTTTCAGTTGAAAATATAGGCTTATATCAATCTGAATCCCGATGTTATATATTGTTAATGTAGAAGCTGGGCGTTCTTCAAGAATGGTATATTGATGGTAACAGTGCCATATTCCTTGAAAAAAAAAAAGGAAAAACAGAATGATGTAAAGTGCTATTTTCAGAAATAGAAGCTATATGCTCATCACAATATCTACACAAAACTGATCAACATGGTCATTTCTATAAGGGCAAGAGTCATATTTACAGAATATTTTATTCGTATTTAATAGTCTACATATGCTACAGAATTTGATACAAATGTTTTCAGTGTTTAGCTAGATGACTGTGGCTACACACGGCTTTAAATATCCTTTTAACTAGAAACGAGTTTATTGTCTGTCAATAGCAATTGGTTAAATATATTATGGTATATTTGCTCAGTAGAAAGATGTGTTGAATTTTCTCTTTAAGGGAAACCTATAACCAATTCCAACTTATGATTTACTTTTTATCCTTGTAGTTCTGTGAATTTTGAGGATATTTTAATGGATACATACAAGTTTAGAACTGATCATTTTTTTTGTGAATTGAATATGTTCTATTCCTAATAATATTTTATTCTAAAATCTATTTTTGTCTGATATTATTATGTATTTATTTTGTTTAATGATTACTAGTATCTCTGTATCTAAAGTTTACTTTTTCCAAGAGAGAAAGAGAAAGAAAGAGAGATACTGCCAGCAGAGTCTTCAGGCTTCAGTGCACTCCCAGTCTAGTTGGCAGGATTAAAAGCATGCACCTGTGCACCTGGCAGTTACATGGAGGCCTTGGGATGCAAGCCTGGGACCTTTCCATACAACTTAAGCATTGCAGGGCACTGCTGTGCCACCATGGCTAGCCTATTAGCATGTTTTTTTATCCTTTCATTTTCAAATTTTCTTATGTGTTATGTAACTTGTATAAACAATATACAGTGTCAATTTGTCTGTGCATATTTTAATCTGATCTGATGATTTCTGTGTTTTATCTAATTCCCTTAATCACCAGGCTATGAAGTGGCCAAAAATCTCTGTATTTTAACTGGTGAGTTTAACACACAGATATATTTGTATTTGTTTCTACCTTATTTTTACTTTTCCTGTTTCACTTTGTGTCTACACATTTTTTCTTCCAATTTTTGTGTATTGAAAGTTGATCATGGGGGTCAGCAGGTGGTGTGGTAGTTAAGGTGCTGGGCTCCCACATGGCCAACTGCAGTTCAGGCCTCAGATCTGGTAGCTTGAAAATCACACTGGGCACATGTGCGTGCATGTCCAAAATCTTGAGAAGAAAATAGAGGAGAAGGGATTGTAGGGTGACCATGCCTCCTGGGGATTGACTTCCCACTTTCCCTCTCACAGTCTCTGATGGCAAAAAAACTTAAAAAAAAAAAACAAAAAAAAAAAAAAACAAAACACTTGATCACGGAGCAGCCAGTGATGTGGTGGTTAAGGCAGTTGGGTCCTACATGGCCGACTGGGTATTTCAGATCTCCCACTTGGTGGTTTGGGAAGCACCCCATGTGTGTATGTGCGCATACCCAAAAATCTCAAAAAGAGAGAGATGGAGGAGAGGGATTGCAATATGACTATCCCTCATATGGGGTGCTTTCTCACTTACTCTCTCTCTTTTTCTGTCTCTCTCCAGGAACGGCACATACCTCTGGCAAATTTTTTTAAATAATCATTTTCTTCTATATTGGTTTGGAGCTATTTATTTTTATATTGTATTATCCTTGGAAATTTACTGTGTACTCAATAATCAAGTTTATAGCAATAACTTGCCAAGGAAACACAAAGACTTTAGATCACTCAACAAATCAATCACCTTACTGATTATCATTCAGTATTTCAGTTATGTATATTTTTTATGTTATTATTTTATATAGGCAAAGTATTTTTAATTACCTACATGTTTAGTAAGTCATTTTTTTTTTTGCTTATCACCTTGCATCTTATTTGTGATCTCTTTGTGAAAACATTTTCTTTCATTTCCTCACTATCTTTCACAGTTGCATTCAATTCACCAGCATATATAGAATGCTACACATTAAAAACATGTACGGCCATTTTTAGTCCTACGACATTGGGTTAAGCCTCCCTCATTTGGCACATGGTTCACTGTAATAGCCTCCTGACTGGTCTGATTACTTCTACTCGTGCCTCACTATAGACTATTCTCAACAAGGGGACTAGAGCAATCACACATCATCCCCTCTCTCCTCTGCTCAAAATCCTACAATGAATGCTTCGGACTAAAAGTCAAGGCTCCAGCCCTCCATAAATTATATGGTCTCATCTCCTACTATTTTCTCCATTATTCAGTATACCCATTCCACACCATCCTCCTAGCCATTTATCTTATACACTCTTCTTTTAGGGCCTCTGCTCTAAGTAGCTATAGCTATCTTGAAATGACTAGCTAACCCCATCACTTCATGTATTTCTTCAGATCTCTTTTCAGAAAGAGCTATCCTGTAAGTACTGCAATTTTCACTCTTTGCCCGCTCTAGTTTTTCTTTCCTCCACAGCAACTATCACCTCCTAATAAATAATTCACCTACGCTATAAGCATCAGGAGAATAAGAGCCTTTGTCTATTTATGGCTGAATGTCAAGAGTCTAGAACTGTGCCTGAATATAATAACTGCTCAATTGATTATATGCTGAATAAAATAAAAGAATATATGACTAGATATGGATTTTGCTTTATTTACTCTCCTTGGTATAATTAGAACTTCCTGTATCTATATATCCATGTCTTTCACCAGTTCTTAGCCAGTAACTTTCACATACAGTTGATATGCATTAGGTCATTCTTGATCTATTACATATCTCTTTTAACCTTCAATCATATTTTTGTCCCCTGGTCATATGTTGCTGTATTTTGTAGTCATTACTTCAGATTCATATTTCAGTTCATGAATTCTCTCTTCTGCTATTTAACTCATCAATTTAATTGTTATTATTACTTTTTTTTTTTAACATTTTCTATAGGGCACATGTGCTCTCCAGAGAAAGAGAGGGAAAGTGAAAAATTACAACCTCACAGGAGTTGGCCATGCTGCAATCCCTTGCCCTCCCCCCCATTCTCCTCTTGGGATTTTGGGCATGCACACTCATGACTTTCAAACAATCAGGTCCAGACTGGAACTAGAGAGTCCATTATGTGCGATCTAGCTGCCTTAACCTCCACACCACCTGCTGCCCCTCAATTTAATTAAAAAAAAATTGTTTATGTTTTTGCCATGAGGTTTGTGCCTTGGTTGGAAAGAAAGGAAAATGTGAGAAATCATGCCCTATCCCAGGGGGATGGCCATGCTGTAATCCTTTCTCTATTCTCCTCTTGAGATTTTGGGTATTCACACACATGTGAATACCTGGAGTGATCTTTAAGCTACTATATCCGGGGCTCAAATCCAGCCATGTGAAAGTCCAGTGTGTCAAGCACCATGCCACCTGCTGGCCTCTTAATTTAATTTTTAATCTAACAATTTTTTTTTGAAAAGTTCTACTTGGTTTTTCTTCATGTATACGTAAACTTTTTTTGTTTATTTCTTATTCTTATGATTCTATTTTTAATTCTATAAACATTTTATGCATGTTTATTTTATATTCTGTATCTATTAATTTTTATATCCGAATTTTTAAAAACCTCAATCTCATGTTTATAGAGGTTTTTAAAAATTCAGATATAAAAATTAATATGGTTTTCACACATGACTGTTTCTTCATATTTTTGGTGCTATACTTTGTTGATACTAGTCTGTGGAAACCTGGTGAATAAATTGAGGATGCTTTTATCTAGAAGGGATATACATGTGTTTCTGTTGGTACGGAAAGTGTACTGGCAGGGTGGGGTGGGGGTCACTGTAAACATTTTCTAGAATCCTAGACTTGCTCAGCAGTTTCAGGAGTGACACCCGCTCTGTTGCTGACTCAGGTCTAAGTCTTCTGATCCCAGCACTGGTATGTATAATCCACTCAGCATTTCAGGTGAACTTCCTACTCCATTCCACACTTTAATTTCAGCTCATGGGTTAAATATTTTTTTCCTTTGGGGAAATTTTCTTTATATCCTATAAGCTTATCAAAACAACACATTATATAAAACAATACGATGCAATACTCTTTTTATATGCTATTAGTTTATTGCAAGTTGGCCCTTTGGACTACTTACTGGGTTGTCAGAAAAATCATGACACATTTTTGCATAGAAAAAGACCGAAAAATGTGTCATCACTTTTCCAACAACTCAAAAATTCCCTCATACAGATGGGTGTGAAAGTCTAGACAATTTATTTATTTTGTAAAATAATTATCTTATTCAACTTTATTTATTTATATAAATTTGATCAGGGAGGGACAGAGTAAAAGAGAGAGGGAAAGTGAGAAAGCAAGCTGCCAGGTCTGGTTGGCCATGTGGGAGTCCAGCACCCTTAACTATCACACCACCTACCAGTCCCGTCTAGGCAATTTCTAATTTCTTTTGCTTTTACTTTCTCTCTCCTGGCCTAGATTTAAAAATAATAAAATAAATAAAAAATCCCTGAACTTCAAGTTCTTTTTCCTTAGTAATATTCCTAGATAACGACAATGATAAAACAGTAACAATAGATACTATTTACTGAAACATTTACTTGTGTTAGCAGATTTCTATGTATATTATATACATTATTTTGTTTTGTAGTCACAGATTCATCTTATATAGTTGAGAAAACTGGATTCAAGAGACTCTACACTTGCAGAGGATGAAACAGTTAATACGTGATCAATCTGAGATTGTGCACTTTTTTCATCTTGAGAATTCATGTTTGTAATCACAGGTCTCGCCTGTGTAGATCTTAACTTGTCAGTGAGAATTGTTCCGTTGCTGTACACAAGCACTTGCTCACAGTCTGCCTTTTTCTTTGTTCTGTATGACACATCCATATTGTTCTTTGTTATAGTAAATGGGCTGCTGTCAATAGGATAAGATTGGTTTGCTATGCTATGTTAAAAGTCAGTTGTCCAGGGAACCAGCAGTTAGCGTAATGGCTATGTCGCTGGACTCCCACGTAGTCAACCGTGGTTCGCGGCCCGGACCCGGTGGCTTAAAACTCACGCCGGGCGCGTGTGCGTGCGTGCCCAAGATCCCGAGAGGAGAATGGAGGAGAAGGGATTGCGGCGTGACCATCCCCCCTGGGGGGTGATTTCTCGCTTTCTGTCTCTATGTCTCTGTCTGTCTGGCGAGCGCACGCGCCCTATAGCGAAAAAACCTCTCCAAAAAAAAAAAAATAGAAAAGTCAGTTGTCCAAAATAGTGGCAGAGATCATGCATGGTTTTTTAAAAAGTTTATTTATTTCTTCCATGAGAGAAAGAGAGAGAGAGATGCACCACTGCAGGGTCTTCATGCTGTGATCTATCTCTAGCCATGGCCAGCCGGAATAATGGGCACATGCGTGGAAGAGACCTCAAGACATAATCCCAGACTTCCCATGTGGCTTCAGCATTCTGGAGCATTATGGTACTGTGCTACTGTGGCTGGCTGCATGAAATCTTATTTACTGACACTTACCAATCTAATCGGACATTTCTTCACCCAGTAAGTAGCTTAAAGCCACACCATTGATTTCTGGATTAACACTACCTTGGAAGTCAATAGGGAGCAAAAACTGGTTTTACCTGTGCTTTTTATATGTTGACCATCTTTCTGCCTTTTGCCATTGCCAAAGTTGCATCATAGCCTGTATGAGTTTTTCCATGCTGCTTAAGATAAATCAGTAAAGTCAATTGCAGATTTTATGGCCCTTTCCTTATTAGTGACAAAAAAAAAAAAAAGTGATTCAATCACACGCCTAGACTCTACAGGGGCAAAAGTAGGGGTTCTTTTGTGCTTCAAGCACAAATGCAAAAACAAGACTTAGAAACAAAAACAAAAACAAACACAAAAAATGCTCTTATGAGAAATGTTTTCTTTCTTTTCAAATTTGTAATAGGACATGTGGGCTCAACAGAGAAAGACACAGAGAAAGAGACAAGAGAAGTGAGAAAGTGCTCCCAGGGTAGGGGTGGCCATACTGCAATCCCTTTTCCTCTATTCTCCTCCCAGGATTTTGGACACACATGCATACATGTCTAGTGTAGAAAGAGAAGTGAGAAAGCCCTACCAGGGTAGGGGTGGCCATACTGCAATCCCTTTTCCTCCCAGGATTTTGGACACACATGCATACATGTCTAGTGTGTTTTTCAAGCCACCAGGTATGGGACTAGGATTGCATAACTGGCCATGTGGGATCCAGTCACCTTAACCACCATGCCATTGGATGGACCATTTGGGGAGTTTCTGATTAGAGGATGGCAGTTCTTGTTCTCCTTCACCAGACTGACCCATCTCTGATCTTTTGCCTAGCTGTGTTCAGAAGGAAGCCAGGGGGGATTCATGAGCAGCCGTATACAGGAGCAGATAAAGAGTACCTGAGGAGACTTGAACGATGAGCTCACTGAGCAACACTCACTGAGGGTAACAAGGATAACAATATTTCAACACATTTTGATTGTTGACTGTGTTCCAGGTTCTGTTCTACGAACTTAATATTCATTGTCTCATCTAACTCTAACACTGTTGTGCTGCTATTACTATAATAGATAAGGAAACTTGGGTCTTATAACTGTAATGAAACTTCCAAAGTAACTGAGTTAGATGCTATGGAGCTGGATTAGTTTATTTATTTATTAATTTATTTTAATTTGACCAGAGAGAGAGAGAGAGAGAAAGTGAGAAAGCAAGCCACCAGGTCCAGGACTCAAACCGTGGTCAGCCGTATGGGATAATCCAACACCTTAACCACCACACTACCTGCTGGTTCTCCTGGAGCTGGATTAGAACCCAGACTAACTACAGAACTTGAAGATTCAACTGCATAGTTATCCTAAATATGTGCCAAGTTCTTTTTTGAGTGACAGAAATAGAACATTGTTATGTTTGGTATCAACTACCATTAAACTGTGTCGATCTCAATGGTACTGTAAGGAAAATAATTTTTGAATAGAAACTTCTCAAACATTCTTACATCCTAGATACACAAGGATGACTCATGTACAAAATCCCTGATTTTTAGAAGACTGAGTGGTAACTGCTCTAAGTGGGAACATTTACTTTTTTTTTACTTAGTGTTCACATTTTTCCTGATGGACTGCTTTTGGGGAAATTAAGATAGTGGTTAGATTTCAACCTTGAAATATAACTTTTTTTTAATCTAATGGGTGTCATTTAGAATACTTGCTTCTAGAGGGTGAAGCTTCATCATGGAATACCAATTAATAACAGGTGTGACAGGTCTGGGATTAAAAAAGTACTAGCTAAATTAAAAGAAAAAAATGGATCACACTTCTGTTTGTAGGCAAATCTGATCTTTGACTAGATAAAGAAGTTAAAGCAATAAAAGAAATTGTCTGAAATTTTTTCAGTCATCTAAAAGGGATACCTCCTTTTTAACATCCATGAGGCATGAGAACAAAGACTGGTAGAGAAAAGAGTAAAACATTCTTTTTTTGCTATAGGGCGCGTGCGCTCACCAGACAGAGAGTCAGAGAGACAGAAAGCAAGAAATCACCCCCCGATGGGGGATGGCCATGCCACTATTCGTTCTCCTCCATTCTCCTCTCGGGATCTTGGGCAAGCACGCACACGTGCCCGGCGTGAGTTTAAGCAACCAAGTCCGGGACTCAAACTGTGGTCAACTACGTGGGAGTCCAGTGACATAGCCATTACGCTAACTCCTGGTCCCAAGAGTAAAACATTCTGATAGCACTGTCTTTGAGATTAACACAATATATATAGAGAAAGACAATATATACAAAATTAATTTTTCAAAATTTAACACATTTTTGAAGGAGAAAATAATAATTAAATTCATTGGAAATGGATGTTTTCTGATAATTGATAATGACAACTGAAAAGAAAATGATTCATCTATATTTGGCAATTTTTCTTTTTTTTTTTTTAGAGAGAGAGTTTTTTTTGCCATAGGGCACATGCACTTGCTGGAGAGACAGAAAGACAGAAAGCAAGAAATCATCCCCAGAACGGGATGACCACGCGACAGTCCCTTCTCCATTCTCCTCTTGGGATTCTGGGCACCCGTGCACATGCACCTGGCATAAGTTTTAAGCTACTGGGTCTGGGACTTGAACCGCAGTTGACTACAGGGGGAGTCCAGTGACATAGCCATCAATCATGCCATCTGCTGGTTCTGATATTTGGCAATTTTATGAGGAGTGATACCTACCATATGCTATAATTGCAAGCACACCAAACATGAAGATCCAGAAGAGGAATCCAGCTATGTACCTCAGGAGTATCAGAAACATCCAACTTAGGATCATGGCAATAGTCAGCCCTCTAAAAGAAAAAACCCACAACAAATTCAGGGGTTAAGTGTGTTCAACACAACATAACAAAATATCAAGAATATTTTTTTCCATTTTTAAATAATACCTCCATTATTTTATTTTACCTATGATGTTTACAAGTATAACAATGGTTTCCATTAAAACTTTCATTTGAAAGCACATGAACATCAGGGGCTTTGTCCATGAGTCATCCTTGTGGATCTAGGTCAAGTGAAATCCAGTAGTAAATCATTGTTCAAGAAAAAAATACAATTCCTCTTACCTACAATTTTGTCTACCTGCCATAGTTGGATGTCCTATTTTTCTCTTTCATACCTTCCTACTACTAGATAATACGTTGTAAAATATATCCATGGTGAATTTGTGCTGTCCTATTTACTTGGTGACTAGAAGAAACCTTCTGCAATATGACTATCTAGAAATAGAAGCAATGGAATAGTCTTGGAACAGAAAGACAAGAAAGCTAACTGACCATACCCTGAACCCATCACTATGGTCTAATTATTTCTAGTAGCTTCCAACGTTTGATATCACTGACAACTGCTTCAGGTTCTCAGTGATCTAGGGGTTATTACTTGAAGCCATGGCAAGGTGTCCATGTCTCCTGGGTCATATGACTTTATTGAGCCATCAATAGCAAGGCTATTTTAGCTTCTTCTTAGAGTTTGATTGAGCTACCAGAGGAAACTATTTCTCCCCATATATCCAGGCTAAGGTCATACTGGAGTTTTCTGTGGTGATTTTCTCAAAGAGAACTCATTAAGTTAGAAACTTGGCTAACTAACTTTGCTGTAAAGAACAAAACCTTTGGTGCTACGTGCAAATTTCCAAACAAGCAACAGACCTGAGCCTGGTATATTTATTGAACTTAATATATCAAGTATTCTGTTTTAAAAGTCTTATTAATTACTGTTACTGCATAGATGACAGCACAGTATTGAAGTACCCTCTCAGATTATAGTCTGGCAGGAGCTGTGCTTTACCTTTAGAAGCCACTCTCTTAAAACCACAGATACTTTAATGCTTAAATATTCAATATGGTTGTAGAATTAGTCTATGAAATAGACCAATGGGAATATTCAAAAGGTCACAGGAAAAAAATAAAGCTGCTGATTACGTGTGTTTAAAATTCTTTCATAAAAGTTTTAAATGAGTAAGCTATGTCCCAGCATATTAGTACTTTGACTTTGTAATTCTATATTCTTCTCTGCAACAATGGTTATGACTTTTCCAATGATTCAATAGTTGAATATACCTATATTGATTCCTTAGTGTTTTTATAACTGTTCTTGGAACCCACATTTTCTGGGTAACTACTATGTTTCAAGAACACACTCGAATGTTCAGGAAAATGAAGATGAGTTACACATAGTTACCATCATAAAGAGTGAGAGTTTATTAGAGGGAAAAAGCAGGTAAATAAAATACAAAATGATAAGTGCTATATGTCCATGTATGTATATATGTATATGCACAGGTATGTATACATATATGCATACACACACACACACACACAATGGATGTAGAGATCACAGAGGAGTAAGTAATTAACTGTATTTGGGGAAGATAAAAAAGATTTCATAAATGACAACAAAGCTGATTTTAAAGGATGAAGTGGAGTTGCCCAGTCTCAGAGAAGGAAATGGCAGGAAAGGGAACCAAATGTCTAAAACATGGGGTTTGGCAATTTAGGAATGGATGTTATGTGATGTAATAGAATATTAGCTCAATCAAGAAACAAGAGCAGAGATGAATCTGAGAAACTGCATAGGGCCAAATTATGAAGTGCCTTGGAATTATCCAAAGTTTAACTGTATTCTTTGGTCACTAGAGTGCCATAGAAGCTTTTAGACATTAGAAAGTGAAACTAGAGCCAGATAGTAAGGATAGCTGTAGATATGCCAAACACATTTATCCACTTTAGAAGAGTGACTACATTTCCTTAATTTTCTTTTCTTTTTTTTTGGAGAGATTTTTGCTCTAGGGCACGTGCACTTGCCAGACAGACAGAGACAGAGAGACAGAAAGCAAGAAGTCACCCCCCCAGGGGGGATGGCCATGCCACAATCCCTTCTCCTCCATTCTTCTCTTGGGATCTTGGGCACGCACCCACACGTGCCCAGTGTGAGTTTAAGCCACCGGGTCCGGGACTCAAACCGTGGTCAACTACATGGGAGTCCAGCGACATAGCCATTACACTAACTGCTGGTCCCTTTTTTTTATTTCCTTAATTTTCCAGGAATGTTAACCATTTATTTGAAAAATTTGAGTCTCCTCCCCCTTTATATGTTTTTTTCAACTTCTCCTTACTATTGAGTCATCGAAAAAGTCATGACACATTTTTGCATATAAAAACACAAAAATACGTTATGATTTTTCCAATAACCCAAGGCAATGATCTTTGGTGATGCCGGTAGTAATCCTTTTGTGGAATGAATGTATTAAAAACATAAGAGTGATCCTGTAGAGGTAAAGGGAGGGACAAAAAAGAAAAAAAATAACCATCACAGCCACTATAACATGTGATAAACACACACATGTTATAGACACAGAAGCACTACAGATTCTGCCTCCTCGTGACCTGAAGCCTATGAGTATGTTTTAAAATTTTTTTGAGAGATTTTTGCTTTTTTGCTTTTTTTTTTAGAGATTTTTGCTATAGGTCACGTGCACTCGCCAGAAAGAGAGACAGAAAGCAAGAAATCACCCCCCAGGGTGGATGGCCACGCCACAATCCCTTCTCCTCCATTCTCCTCTCGGGATCTTGGGCACGTACGCACATGCACCTGGCATGAGTTTAAGTCACTGGG